TTGGGGGGGGGGCAGCAGCGGAGATGGAGAAGGACGGCAGAACCGTGATGTGGGTAAAGGGGCATAGCGGAGTGGAAGGGAACGAGAGTGCGGACAGCAATCCGAAGGAGGCAGCGTGAGCGGAGGACTGTTACGGGGGGATTGTAGTAGCCCCAGTAATTGGCAACGACGTTGCCACTTTCTAGAAATTGAAACGAAGTGTACTTATATTTTCTTTGTATAGGAAGACTCGAATTCCTTGGCATTGCCAAGAATTGTCAGACCGCGTGACCCGGATTACGTAACCTGCTTGCTAAGTGAAGGTTAGCAACATGTGAACCTCCTCGCTCGTCCTAATCCGTTTTTTTTTTTTTTTTGGTAAATCAGTACTTGCATTGAAGCATCTCGCTTATGGCGAGGCAGCGCATCCCCAGGTTAAGCCTGACGGGATTATCCAACCACTGGGCCGCTCCCTGCCCCGTATCTACGTACACGACCAGATACCCCCCAAATCTAATCACCATAGCCACGTCCTGCAACCCCCAACCGATAACATATGAAATCACCCCCTGACTGCCCCCGCCAGCTTCTCACACCACTCCGGATCCTCCCATATCTGCTCCCACTCCTGCCCTTTACCATCCGCTATCCCAGGACAGCTCAGCAGGTGTACGGCATTCTGTGCTACCCCCTCCTCGCACAATCCGCACAGCGGATCTTCCACCCTGCCCACTTTATGCAGCCACCAGCGCTGCGGTCCGCGGTCAGTAACTATCCCACAGAGCCTCCCTGCTCCACTTAGTCTGCCTGGAGGGTCGTCCCATGGGGAACGCCTGTCGGATGCCTGCCGGTGTGATAACGTCAGGTCGTAGCATCCTCCTGCCTACCTACGCCTCCTCCTTCGCCTTCCTGTCTGCCCTCTCATGGCCTTCCACTCCACTATGGCCCTTCACCCACATCACCGTCTTGCCGCCTTTCCCCATCTCCTCTGCCGCTAGCTCTTCTATCCACGATCGTGGTTGCTCGAAGCATAGGTTCCGAAGCCGACCAATGGCGCCCTGGCTGTCGAGTGCCACTACCGACCTTCCCGCCTGCCATGACCTTATTACTCCCAACATCTCAGCGTCCATCACCGTGGCAAGAGAGCCTAGATATACTCCGTCCTCCCAACTCCCTCCCCCCCTTCGACCGCCGCTGCTGCCGTTACTCCCTCCTGCCGTGACCTATCCGACCACGCTGCCACCTCCTCCGTATTCAGCTCCGCAATGCATACTTCCCTCCCCATACTCTCGCCACTCCCGGATATCCAATGGAGCACCGCATCCGGTTCCACCACTTCCTTCAGTATCCCTTCCGCAATCTCCCTCAGCTCCGGTACTGAAATGTTGCAGGAGGCTGAGGAGAAGGACTAGGCTTCCGTGGAAAGAGGAGTCATTCAACCTTCGACTCAAGTTTAGTTGCCACCCCGAGGGCGTCACATACCTGAGACGGTTCCTCCAAGTGGCTCAGAAAGTCACGGAGGATAGTTCTGTGATTTAGGGAACTGCTCATCCGACATTTTGGGCCGAGACCCATCCAGCTTAATACAACTAATCAATCGGAGATCGTTACATACACATATTACTACACATTTACTATAGCTATACTCTCTAGAGCTTCTAGCTTCAGGTTCAGGTTGGGATTTTTCACTTAATGTAAATTGGCCGTTCATTACTGGTGAACTATACTAGATGCGCTTCAATTTTTTAATCTTCCACTAATCTCAGTTAATGATTCCATACGCTGTAATTAAAATTATGCTGGTAGTGGTATCGTTATCAGAACCTTGCAGGTATCCTGGAGGCTCCCCAAATGCCCTTTCACGCACTTAAGATTTTCCTAGCGTCAGATAATATCAAACATATTCTACCTGATTCTTCATTGTGAAATGCTCTGGGCACTCAGCCAGTTCCATATTTTTGTAGATAGAATCAGATAGTCAATTACAGTTGCCATAGAATGCTTACGATTATCAGATTCTAATGGACACCATTCTTGTCATGCATGCCCACTATAATAGGGGTATTCAAACCTGATTTTGAACGCCGTTTAAACCGTTCCCTGAACGAATTCGTTCAAGTGGATTGAACGGTTTGCGCGTACTAAATTTTAAGTGAGGATGGTCACGCTTAAACCGATTAAAAGGCCCGTTTAAACGGGTCGTTTAAACGGCCTTTTGAACGACACGCTAAAATTAGGACTTAGCCCAATTCGGCATAGAGATATCAGGGTAGTCGCTACACGTAAGTGCATTGCCAAGTGCACCTGAAAGAGTGTACGTGAAATGCCAAAGAGTCCATAAGGGGAGTGTCAGCCAGTATACAGCAGCCTTAGTCTCGCAGCAGCCTCATAGTTACCCCCCCGCGGGACAGTTCTACTTCATCGTCAAGTATGCCTCGAGTCAGCCAACGGAAGGCTCTTATCGAATGGTTCCTATATGGTATCGAAAGACACCAAGCTCACTTGGATCAGGAAAGATTCCAGGATTTTTTACGGCGAACTATGCGCCAGTTACAGCAAGGGCTAGATGATGCAATGGACATAGTCATGGGTGAACCCAGAGGAGATGACGGAGATAACGGCTCAAGCGTGACCCTTACCGTCACCGTGACTCTCAGCGAGACGGAGGATTCGGATAGCATGAGTTCGCTTCTAAGTAGCAAATGGGACTCGGAGGATGACGAGGTGGATCATGAAAGAGAGATGCTATGGAAGTTGAGGACCTTGAGGGCTATTTTGGCTAAGAGATACCTGCGAGAAAGGGGGGGGAACTCATCAATTCCAAAATCCAAGTACTGGAGAAATGAGGTCCTTGGGAGACTTCCATATGACCGGTTTCGGCATTTCTTCGGGATGAATCTGGATTCTTTCTTACGAATTCTGGACCGAATAGAAGATCATGAGGTATTCAAAAGCTTATGCAGGACAGAACCTTGTCCGTGATGGGACGTGACGCTTGCTTTTATCCGTATGGCTTTTATTCATATGAGTTTGCAAGGTTTCGGAGAACATCCCATGAACTTGGCATGCGTAACATCTGACCTAGCGCCAGAACACGTGAAAAATCTGGCCCCCCACCCCAATTGAGCCTAGCTGTTTTCAGGCTTGGCGCCCAAGCGACCCAAAAATCAATGAGCATAAGCGGTCATTTAATCGGCTGTTTTGCGCGGTCGCAAAACAGGGTATTCATACCTAGAACGGTTAAAATCGCCCAACTTACCGTTCAAAAAAAAATCGTTTAAAATTAGGTTTGAATACCCCTAATGTCAGAAAGAAAAATTTTTTTTAGATAACTAATCAGTACTCGTATTGACGCTTCTCGCGGATGGCGAGGCAGTGCATTCCCCACGTAACCTGGGGAGATTGTCCCACCACTAGGCCACTCCCTGCCCCGTATCTACGTACATGACCAGATACCGCCCGTTTTCAATCTCTCCGCACCGGAAAATTAAATACACAACAATTCAGGCCATATATAAGTTAGCGAGCAATTTATAGGTTGACTTGGTTCATGACGCAAACGCTGTTCCTACTTAATGCAGAACCTACTTTGCTTGAAGACCAAGGACTCCTTTTTGTACGCTACGAAACATATGACACTTTACGACGGGGAGGTTATGGCTAACGCATATTTACATCATTAGTTATTCAAGTTCGCGAAGGGAGTCCTATTTTAGCTCGACGAACGTGTTAAAGAGATTGCACTTCAACAGGATATTCATCTATTGTTTTCGTATTGTAATGAGGCCTTCTACCACAATGCTACCAAAGCTATGGTAGGGTTTTGTTCAGAAGTAAATATAAACTTATTATCAGCATTATCATACACTTAGGTGAATCAGTCAGTATAATAATAAGATCTCACCAAATACAACTCGCTCCGCGTAAAATGAATAGACAACATTTAATTATTATGAGGAAACCCGTATAAAAGAGGACAAAGAGTCCGCCTTGGAGAACGTTGACCTTGTTCAGTGAATACGATCAAGCCGAAGCGAGTTCTTGTTTTGGATGCGCAGCCAGTAGCATAACATAGGATGGAAGTCAAGCAACTGAAAAATTCAGATCCACGAGTAAACATGGACCATGTGGTGTTAGATACATCTAGCTTACGATGTTCCTGTAGACAATGTTTATTCGACTAGTACTAGCACGACAGGAATTAGATTGAGTACTTCCGAAGAAGTGATACCTCGGGAGTGAGTGTTATACTTCTCATCCTATTTCATATTGTTGATGACCTAGCGACGATATGCAAAAACTAAAAATGAAGACTGTCAAGCCGTGCAACTATACATTATAGTCCATGCTCAGGCTAGATATGAATCACTCCTCTCACAGTGGCTCTCAGCAAAATATTTTATACTTTATACCTAGTTGGTGTTCTTTCCACATCTGATAATAGGGATGCTGCTTAACATTGCATGCCGAGGCACATGAAGAAACCTCAAATGCCATATAGAGCTCCGGAGTCATGGCTAGGACCACTCGCACTTAATCCGACATATCCTTCGCTCCCGGCAACACGTCAAAGCTGAGAATGGCTCCGGTTAGCGTCATCGGAGTTGTCTAGGCGATTAGATCTATTAAGCGATTATCTGTGCCAAGGTTTAGGAAAGAACTATTACTTCACGGAACTGTGCACAAGTGATTATATACCTAGCCTAGAACAAAAGCTGAGAATATCGTGAACCAGAGCTGTGATCACAATAGCGTCAAGGCTTTATGGTACATCATAAACGATAGCATTTGATTAGTCAACTTGAGAAAACTACCGATTCCCCACAGCGAAAGCTGGTGTCTGGAATATATATTACCGCTACAATAGAGAAACAGGGGTCTTCGTTCTCGGATTTTGCGGTATGTGAAGAGTGTAGCAAGATATTGCGGTCTCGGTTTTATTTCTAGAATGCTGTTACAAAGTTGGCAATACAGGCAAATACACTTCTTAGAACAATGCTACTCTCGTAATTTAACAAGATGGGGGCATGGTTTAGAGGTATAACATCTCATTTGCAAATTGACTTCGGTTAATGAAACCTTGAGAAGGTCCGGGGTTCGATTCCCCGTGCCTCCAATTTTTTGCTTTGCGCCCGAATGTGCCAAATTACTTTTTCAGCAAAACCCTGCTTACTTTAGTGTAGACTTGAGTGGTATAGTAGCTTAGTCTGGGGGCACCCCCTCTCGTAGAGAGTAGTAGCTTGGCATGAGACTAGTAGCTGGTATGAGACCCTAAGTAGCTGACAACAGAGCTACTGTGTAGTGGAGCGGGTTGCATTCCCGTCATCGAAATCAGCACAGCAATAATCTTCAGGGTAACTGAAACAATACGAGACAAGAAATACCAACGAGTCCGTGCATTGGCTGATGAGGTAGGCAGAACGCCGTACTAACACCCCATGGTGTGTAACTTGAAATACATACAGCATCTCGATTCAGTCTCGAGCAGGATGTCAAACGAACCCAATTGTTACATCCTAAGAAGGGTGTACAGCACTGGGTTTGTGTGCTTTTTCGATTCCATAGGTTCATCAGAGCATGCATGATCAGCTGCAGGGATATGTTCTGGTCCGTTGCGGGATTCAGTCCATACCAGTATGGACTAGATATCGCAACGGACCAGGCCGCTACGGGATAAAAATTGGTCAATGCCACGGCAACAGGGATTTACCACAACACCACAGCGTCCACAGCGGCCATATTATAATTACTAAATAGGGACATACCCGATATGAAGGTTATTTTGTAGCAACATCTATCTGGTCAAAGAACATCGGAAATAGCATAGGCGAACTATCCAAAAAAATACTCAGTAGAGGGATACCCGAAATGAAGGTTATTAAGTAGAGAAACATTAGGTCAAAGAACAAGAGGATGTAGCACGCCGCAATAGTAGCTTAAAAGATCGCGATACCACAACTTCTTTACAACAAACTGGAGTACTACCCCTCTATTGGAGCGGCTTCCTTCTAGTATTAAACCAGCCTACTTTCAGTTTATTCCATTGGCATGGCAAAACAAAAGTCACTACATGAGGTTGCACGTCTTGCCTCTGCTGGATCTGTGGTTCGCTGCAAATGCAAAGGCCAATGTGCTGACCGTCGCTGCCAATGCAAAAAAGAAGGACGTTCATGTACTGCCTACTGCCATACTTGGTCAGGCCATGTACAAATTCAATGTAAGCGCTGGCAGGACATTAAGCAAGCGGAGGATTGAGCAGTAGAGCTTTTCTTATGTATATATCTTATGCATAAAAAAATAGATTCGATTTCCTCTCAACCTGCCATAATACATATGTGATGTATATGCCATCCCGGAACGGCCCGGACAATCTCTCAACTGCCCAGTCCATACCGGTATGGACTGAATCCCGGAACAGATATATATGCCTGCTAACATCTTTCTTTTTCAAGTTCCTAGATGAAATTTTTTATTTCTCATCTGAGACCCAGAGAAAAGCCAAAAATCTACCAAAATCAACAGAACTTGTGTTGCCCTAAGTGGAAAAGCAGAATTTCCAAAATAGCCCCCCCCCCTTTTTTTTTTTTTTTTTGGAGGACCTCAATCAAAAAAAAAAAAGAAAAAAAAGAAAAAAAAAGAAAAGCAATTAGAATTATAAAATCACCAAGATAATCCCGACCCCGACCTTTCAGATCCACAACCCTGTTCCCATAGTCCCCAGTTCCCTTCCCAACCGCCATCCCACAGTCCACACATCACATCAACACTTGTCGGGGTCTAATGACCTTCCACGGCCCACCTCACCGGCTGCCTCCTCCGCCTACCACTTCTCCTCCTGCCCGCAGTGAGAGCCTCAGTATCCTCACGATGCTGCTTTTCTATTTCCTTTCGGACCTCTGCCTCTACTGCGGCAATCCGAGCTGCTGCAGCCTCACGCAACTTTGTCGCTGCCTCCCGGGTCGGACGTCGTGGTTTTCGGCGGGGACGAGGGCGAGGCGGACTGAAAGCATGCAGGTGAACTTTTTCCGCTTCTTGGGGAACTTTATGGGCTTTTCGCTCTTTTCGCCGCTGTGAGGACATGATCAGCGGTAATGGTTCGCGTTGGGGCCAGGGTGTATAGGACACTTTGCGAATCGGTCGCCCACTATAATTCTCAAGGGTGAATACAAGGTTATTTGGTGGTGCTTATTAGGAGAGGAGGTAGGGTACTGACTTGAAGGGGTTTGTGAAGACGATGTCTTCACTGATTGGGGCAACCGATCGCTTAACTTGGCGTTCGGATGTCCGAGACATGCATAGGTTTCTGAGTTTTACGGAATACGATTGCGGCTTGATTTGGCGAACTTATGCTCTGGGTACTACCGGTTTCGTATTATAACGGAATCGATTCTTGTTGATATTTTTGCTGAGGATATATTATTATATAGAGCGGTGGGACTGCCTTTATAGTCCGGTATAAAGTGCCTGATTCTCTGTACTAGACTCTCTCCAGAAGGGATTCTCTACGTTTCTCCGGCAAAAAATATTACTTACAAAAAGATAGGATCTGTTGTTCGTAATACATCTTGAGCTGGTATCATCAGCCTTAAAGCCCTGCGGTGCTATTTTATGAAAACTTTGAATGAAGTCGAATAAATATTGTAAACCAATAAACACCAATGCAGGAAGCTGGAGGCTAGAAATGAAACATTACATTATAGTGTATGTAGAATGTAGCTTCTCTCACTACTGCTGGTGATGATATCCCAGTTGGTGGTGGGTGTCGATAGTGACAGCTGCGATCTGTATTGGACTGTCAGTGGGTAGAACTATCAGCACTGGTCAAAATTTAGTTTTATGTATCTGACCGGAGATATTGTGCTTATAAATAGACTTGGACCTTTAAGGGAACCTCAATCTACAGAGATAAGGATTGCCACCGGTAAATCAAGAAATATTATCTAGTAACATAAAGTGAATGTAAGAAGGTTCCAAATAAAGCTATTATCTGAGCATTGAGTGCTTAAGTTTACATTGTGTCTGCATCAAGTTTACCGTAAGTACCATAGGTGCTGGCTCCGCTACTATTTATTCCTTAGCAACGTGACACAGTTGTTCCATCATAGGTGCACAATGGGAACCTGGGGAGATAAATAGCCTTTTCCAGACATGCGTCGACTTACGCGAATAGGCGTATACCAAGGTCCACAATGTTTGTTAATTCAGGTACTCCGAGGCTGCATGCGAGTGCAGAACAATTTGTATTTCAAGAAACTGCCTTGCAATTGGAGAACACATGTTCACAGCAGAACCTAATCTGGTGGTGACGTACTTTTGTATCGTACGGAATGCTGTTACTCCTATGCCTCATGGATCAACCGGAGCCCCGTCACGATAATACTAGGTCCCCCTGCTCGTTATGGGTTCCCACATTTATTAGACACGATATGCATTCCACATCACGTTTGGTATACGTAGTTTGCTTTGTGCGGCGGATCCCAGCCGATAAATATCCTGAGCCTGCGTTCCTACTAGTTTCGACAGCGTTGCCCAACTGGCGCCTTCATCATCAAGGCGGGAACGAACATTATGTGCTCATGACACCTGCTTGAAGCAACTGAGCGAAATCCCCAAGGCTGAAGGAACATGCTTGCAAACCATAGCGAGGAAAACAATATAGCTAATTCCAGCGTTTTTGTTCACTTAATGAACCTCGGAATTTTACAACATACAAGGTAGGGTTTTACATACTTAGCACCTTGAACTTCAGTCAATGCGCACACTAAAATAGCAACGCATAATCCCAATTGCCGTTACCATACGTCACCTCAACAGGTATTAAAAAGTAGATCCTGCTTCTTTGTAAGGTAAATATCCCCGAGTGGAAAAAATCCCAAGAATGCCTTATGGTACGGATGTGATAAAGAGAGTCTGGCACGACTTTAACGTAGTTTTATTCCCAATATTTAAAAACAATTTAGAGGAGGCAACATTAGCAGGTATCGTGGACTCATGGTGAGGCTTGATCCTGGGACTTCATTATGAGTGGTCTGTCCTTCTGTAAAACCGGAAACAATAGCTCCAGATACTGCTGTAATATCTACATCCAAACTGTATGACCCAGGCACTTCTGTATGGAATGCCCAGTGAAAAGCGAACATACGGAAGCCAACTCTGCCGCTCGCCTCTCAGTCATTCAGCCCCTGCCTCTTCCAAAACCATAAGTCTGAACTAGGTGAGCCCATCTCTTTATCCAGAGTAACCCGCTTGAGATCGACTTGCTTAACCGAAAATCTCCACGGGGCTAGTGGCTTTCCCTATTCTTTGGTTTTCTCCCAGAAGCCAGCATGACCCCATTATACCCTTTAATACCTTCCTTGCCCTCACATCCTGTCAAATATCTGCCATGGGTCTATGGTAGGGGAACCGTGAATCGCATTGCCTTTACCATCTTGATAGTATCATGATATCCAGCTCATCCTGTGGGACTGTTTTAGCGGCAGGGGATGTCCTAGCCACTTCATTTGCCACAGGACGTCTTGCGTCGGGACGACTTCTATCTTCTTCTCCTAGTCAGATAGGCCTCATATGGGAACCAGTCTTCCATCACCGAATCCTCCTCTTTAATTGTGTCGGAGAGTGATACATATCTATCTACTCCGGCTTTTCCTTTTCCCCTCTTCCTATTCATTCGCCCTCCTTCAGCTTGTCAACCCCCGCAGTCTCCTTCTTTGTAGTCATGCTGGATGTAGCCGCTAGAATCGTGAGCCCAGCGTATACCGCTTTTATCTCTTCAGCATACTCTTTTCCACTGCTTTCACTACGGACTCATTTCATTAGCTCTTTCTTCCACTCTTGGTCCATATCCTCTCTACACTTCGGCAAAACTATTGTCCAACTACTTGTCCTTCCAGTACCGTAATCTGCCCTCGCCCAAGGGAAGCGTATACTAGCACATATACCCAGTCGGTAGCTCATTGTCTCTCTGTCCGGGTACTTGATCGTTGCCGTCGATCGTGGCGATGTTCACCACCTTTGTAAGATGAAGCCCACTCCCTTTAACAGAGGATCGCCTTCAAGCCCTCTGAGCCTTGCAAGCAGGTTAATCCAGGAAACCACCTACTCACCGTCGAGGTA